CCTCTGTAACCTCCTACAGCCCCTCCCTTCCTCTGTAACCTCCTACAGCCCCTCCCTACCTCTGTAACCTCCTCCAGCCCCTCCCTACCTCTGTAACCCCCCCTCCAATCCTGGCCTCTCCAGCATCCCCCAGTTCCCATCGCTCCACCATTGGCGGCTGTGCCTGGGGTCCTGTGCTCTGGAATTCCCTCCCTGAACCTCTCTGCCTATCTCATCCTTTGAAAAGCTCCTCAAAAAACAAAACTGACCTCTCAACAGAGCTTCCTGGATGACCTGTCCTGCTGTTGTCAGCGTCTCATTTCACTCAGCGTTTTTGTTTCAGAGAAACGGTTTGGGCCATTTCGTGTGACACCCACAATCCTGGTGGATGGTGCCGTTACCTCTGAATGTGCAGACTGGGGATTGGGAATTCCCCTCCTAGCCCACAGTCCTATTGCAATCCCAAAGGAACACTGTATCCCACCCCAACAATGCAGTCTTTCAGATGTGACACAAAGCCAACCTGACCTTCTCAGGGTGGATGTGAAAGATCCAATCTCGTGGAGACATTTCCCTGGAGGACTGAAGGTAACTGTTGGCACCCAGTGCAGCTGTTACCACAAACTACCAAAATCCGTTTTATTTGCCAACCCTCACCCTGCATCACAGAAAAAAACCAGAGAACCCTGAACATTACCATGTTGCTGTTTGTGTGGGATGTGGCTGTGTGCCAATTGGTTACCACATTCCCTTTATTATAACACTTCCAATCAGCTGTGAAATTCATCAGGGCATCCTGTGGCTTTGAAAGGCGCTAAAGAAATGCAAGTTATGGGGTTACTCACAGAAGCTTCATTCCTTTCTCATTCCTCTTTGCTTTGCACTTGTAAGCAACGATGCCAATGATCACCAAGAGGAGGACTCCAGCTGGAATGGCTATCGCTAAAATCAGGTTCATGTCACTCAGTTGTAGTGAGCTCAGTGGTTCTGAAGTAAAGAAAGGCAGGAAAAGAGAGAGGTTTATCTGCAAGGGGTAGGTGTGATTAAACGAAAATCAGCAGAATGCCATTGAATCAACTGGAAATGCACTGGACTTGCCGTATAAACACAGCGGCTGCGAGAGCAGCTCAGAGGCTGGGAAACCTGCAGCGAGTAACTCCCCTCCTCACTCCCCAAAGCCTGTCCCACCATCGACAAGGCACAAGTCAGGAGTGGGATGGAATACTCCCCACTTGCCCCTGGATGGGGCCAGCCCCAACAACACTCAACAAGCTTGACACCATCCAGGACAAAGTAGCCCCCGCTCAATTGGCACCACATCCACAAACATCCCACTCCCTCCACCACCAACGTTTAGCAGCAGCATTATATACCAACTGCAAGAAAACTGGATGAAAGCATTCCTCCTTTTCTCTGTCTTAAACATACAGCCCCTCATTCTGATGTGATGTCCTCTGGTCCTAGGCACACCCACATGCGGAAACAACCTCTCCAGATCTACCCTGTCAAATCCTCTGAGATACTTTTGTACGTTTCAATAAGGCCACCTCTCAATCTTCTAAACTCCAAAGCGTACAGGCCCAATTTACTCAACCTCCCCCTCATCAGCCAGTCCCTCCATACCTGCATCAGCCAAGCGAACCTTCTCTGGACTGCCCTCTAATACCTCTCCAAGTCTATCTTTCCCTTAGACAAGGGGTGCAAAACTGTTCACACTATTCCAGCTATGGTCAGACTAGATGCTCACATCATGAAATGGAGGTAGGGGTGTAGGAGAAGGTGAAAGGAAGATTTATAAGGATGATACCAGAAATGTGTGGATGTACAATTCAGACAAAGACTGACGGGCCGGGGTCCCCCTTTTGGAAACAAAAAGAGGGTTAAACGACGATCGGGCAGAAGATATAAAAATTCCAGTACATGCACAAACAGATTCAAGAACAGCTTCTTCCCCGCTGTTATCAGACTTTTAAACGGACCTCTCAAAATGTTAATTCTGATCTCCCTCTCTCTGTACCTTCCAGCAGCTGTAACACTGTATGCTACACTCTGTTCTGCTACCGTGATGCACTTTGTATGGTATGATCTGCCCATACAGCGCATAAAACAACATTTTTCACTGTATCGCGGTACACGTGACAATAGATCAAACTCAAAACTATGTATGGATTTGACAGGCTAGAGACAGGGAGGAAGAAGGAAACAAGAGGCCATCGATTTAAGATAATGATTAATGAGTCCAGTGGGGATTCCAGGAGAAACATCTTTACCCAGATAGTGGGAGAAATTTGGAACTCCCTCCCAGACAGAGTGGCTGTACCAAATCACAATTTAGGGGAAACTATTCAAGCGAGTGATAAATAAGGGAAGAAAGTTACAATGGAGGATTTAGACTAAAGAAAGATGCCAGGAGGATGCAATGGAGTTTAAACTCCAGAATGTAGTAGTTGATCCAAATGGACTGTTCCTTTGATGTATGGCCTATAAAACACAAGCTCACCTAATGGGATTAAAAGTATTGGGTTATGATAGGTTACAAGGTAGATAGCCATTGGGAGGAGTTTAAATTCCATGGTAAGATAGGAATTACTTGGGCTGTGAAAATATTAGAATTCATGATCTGAGGGGTAAAATATCAGACAAACTGCAAACAAAAAAAAGGGACAACTTAAAAATTAATGAGTCTGATTAGCTCACCTTCCACAACCTCAATCAGAATAGATTTAGACTGGGTCAGACTTGGGATTGAAGGGTGAGTGGCTTTGCAAGTGTAGAGTCCACCTTGTTCTGGGGTGATCTTCACAATCTTTAAGTTGCTGTTTGGGTAAACCCACTCATTACCCTGTAGGAAAAGAGTTACACTTCATTTAGATTTCATCGTGATTCACTCCTGGTAGTATTACAGACATAAACCACCCCCCTCCCCTCAAACATCTGGATTAGATTCCAGTCTGCACCTCACTCCGGGGTATCTGTTATTCTGTATATAATCTGATCTCTACATTGTCCCCCATTAAACACTCCCAGCACTGGGTTAGATACAGAGTAAAGCTCCCTCTACACTGTCCCCATCAAACATTCCCAGGACAGGGACAGCACGGAGTTAGATACACAGTAAAGCTCCCTCTACACTGTCCCCCATCAAACACTCCCAGGACAGGGATAGCACGGGGAAATATTGACAAGGATGGTCCCAGGAATGGGTGGGTTGACACACTAGGGAATGATAGAGAGTCATTGGGTCCTACAGCACGGAAACAGACCCTTCAGCCCAACTCGTTCATGCTATACAGGTTTCCTAAACTGAACTAGTCCCATTTGCCAGCATTTGGCCCATATCCGTCCAAACCCTTCCTATCCATGTATCCATCCAGATGCCTTTTAAATGTTGTAATTGTACCAGCCTCCACCACTTCCTCTGGAAGCTCGTTCCATACACGCACCACTTTCTGTGTAAAAAAAGTTGCTCATCAGATCCCTTTTAAATCTTTCCCCTCTTACCTTAAACCCACGCCCTGTAGTTTTGGACTCCCCTACCCTGGGGAAAAGTTCCTGACTGTTCACCTTATATATGCTCCTCATGATTTTATAAACCCCTATAAAGGATCCCCCCCAGCCTATCCAGCCTCTCCTTATAATTCAAACCGTCCAGTATCAGTAAATAACCTTGTAAATCTATTTTGTACCCTTTCAGGTTTAATAACGTCCTTCCTATAGCAGGGCGACCAGAATTGTACGCAGTACTCCGAATGTGGTCTTACCAATGTCCTAACTCCTAAACCCAGTGATGTGACCGATGAAGGCAAGCATGCCAAACATCTTCGTCATCATCTTATCTACCCATGACACCACTTTCAATCATAAGACCATAAGACATAGGAGCAGAAATTAGGCCATTCGGCCCATCGAGTCCGCTCTGCCATTCAATCATGGCTGATAAGTTCCTTAACCCCATTCTCCCCGTAACCGTTGATCATCAAGAACCTATCTATCTCAGTCTTAAATGTACTCAATGACCTGGCCTCCACAGCCTTCTGTGGCAGTGAATTCCATAGATTCACCACTCTCTGGCTGAAGAAGTTTCTCCTTATCTCCGTTCTAAAAGGTCTTCCTTTTACTCTAAGGCTGTGCCCTCAACTATCTACCTGCACCCCTAGGTCTCTATTCAACAACACTCCCCAGAGCCCTACCATTAGCTGCTAATCTCTGCCCTGGTCTGCCTTACCAAAATGCAACACCTCACTTGCATCTAGTTAAACTTCATCTGCCACTCCTCGGCCCATTAGCCCAGTTGAACAAGACGAACAGATCGGATATCTGCTCTCTCAAGGGAAGGCAGCTGATGGGTTTGAGGGGCGTTTCAAACAATGGAAGGTTCTGATTGAGTGGATTCAGAGTGAATGTTTCTGCCCGTGATCAACAGCATGACTATAGATTGTCAATGTAAGATTGAGGCCAAGAAATCAAATCGGGAATTCAGGAAAAACATCCTCCCCAGACTGCGGTTAGAACATGAAATTCATTTTCACAAGGAGTGATCGAAGTGAATAATGGAGGCGTATTTTTGGGGCCAGGTGAAGTGGGTTAGCTCAGTTGGATGGACACAGAGTGACACCAATAGCATAGGTTCAAGTCCCACATTGGCTGAGGTTACCATGAAGGACACATCTTTCTCAACCTCTCCCCTCAGATGACCTCAGGTTAAACTCACCACCAGTTGCCCACCAATGGTGACTTCTACGTTTATTTAGATTATACGATACAGGAGTAAGGTTAGGCCATTCAGCCAATCAAATCCCTGCTACTTGAGCATGTTTTTCCAACTCATTCATGGGATGTTAGCATCTCTGGCTAGACCAGCATTATTGCCCATCCTAATTGCTCAGAGGGCAGTTAAGAGTCAATCACATTGCCTTGGGTCTATAGAGTCACCTGTAGAGATGGCACAAGTACAGATGGCAGTTTTTCTGACAATTGACAATGGTCATCATTAGACACTTAATTCCAGATTTTTATTGAATTCAAATCCTACCATCTGTTATGGCGGGATTTGAACCCAGGTCCCCAGAACATTTCACTAGATTGTTAATCCAGGTAAATACCCCTAGGCCATCACCTCCATTGGCTGATAACGTTTCTCAACCCCATTCTCCTGTTTTCTCCCTGTAAACTTTGGTCCCCCAAGGGTGGCATGGTGACTCAGTGGTTAGCACTGCTGCCTCACAGCTCCAGGGACCCAGGTTCAATTCCACCCTCGGGTGACTGTGTGGAAGTTTGCACATTCTCCCCGTGTCTGCCTGGGTTTCCTCCGGTTTCCTCCCACAGTCCAAAGATGTGCAGGGTAGGTGGATTGGCCATGCTAAATTGCCCGTAGTGTTCAGGGATGTTTAGGTTAGGTGGGTTAGGCATGGGAAATGGGTTTGGGTTGGGATGCTCTTTGGAGGGGCGGTGTGGACTTGTTGGGCCAAATGGCCTTGTCTCCACACTGTAGGGATTTATGATACTAATCAAGAACCTAACCCTGACTTAAAGACATTCAATGACTTAGCTTCTACAGCCCTCTGCGACAATGAATTCTACAGATTCCCCCCCCCCCCCCCCCGGCTGAAGAAACTTCTCCTCACCTCAGTTCTAAAGGATCGCCCCCTTCACTCTGCCCTCAAGCCCCAGTCTCTCCTACCAGTGGAATTTAAAGGAGGAAGCTGAATGAAAAAACTGAGGGAGAAGCTAGGGAAGATGTTACAGTCAGTGGAGGTGAGGCAGAGTGGAGTGACGGTGGTTATGTCTCCCTGTGTCAACCAATGGGTCAGGCGACACTTCCTGTCTCTGTAACCTGTCCGTACCTTCCTCTTCCATTGGAACACTGGTGGCTCAGAAGAGCTTGCACAACATTTGACCTCAACATCCTTTCCTCGCATCACCCTCACAACTCGTGGGTCTCTCATGTAACGGCCAAAGACGCTCCCGGGTTCAGAGATGGATATGCTGTTGAGATCTTTAAAACAGAAACAGATAAGTGAAAAATTGAAGTGGCACGCGGAAAGGTATTACCAAAGGGAGAAAAGCAGCCAGGGTCTTATCGTAGCGAGGGCCTATGGCGAGGAATGTGGCAGAATCATGTGAGAAGCCCAATGAAGGGCACCTGAAGGTCACGTTGTCCAAATAATGTCCAGGCACTGAGTGGAGATTCGCACTAAGACAGGGAGGGGGGAAGGAAAAGGGACAGGGGGAGAGAAAAGGGCGTGGAATGGGGAAAAGAGCGGGAGAGAGAGAGAGACAGACAGAGAGAGAGAAAGAAAGAAGAGAGCGCGAAACACAGAATTAGAGAGAATGACAAAAAGAGACAGGCAGAGACAGAGAAAGAAAGAGTGAGAGAGGGAAAGACAAGGAGAACGAGAACAGCAAGACAGAGTGAGACAGAATGACAGAGAGAGACACAAAGAGGGAGGGAGACAGAAAGAAATAAAATGACAGAGGCAGAGAGAGAGAGAGACACAAAAGAATAAAGGATTGAGACGGGAGGACAGAGGATTGAAAAAAAAGAGGAATGAGAGAGAGTTAGAGTGAAGTAAAGAAGAGAAGGATAAGACAGACACAGAGAGACAGAGGGATAAGGGAGATAGCTAGATAGAGAGTGGATAAAGTGCATGAGGGTGAGAAGTGAAGAAAGCGAGAATAAATGAGAGAAAAAGAATTTAGAAAAGGAACAGAGTTGTAAAAACAAGAGTGATTTACGTAAAAATTTAAACAAAGTAAAACATCCTGAAGTACTTCACAGGAATAATTACCAAACAACATAAACACTGAGCATCATACTGAGACCTGACAATCAGGAGCCTGGTCAAAGAGGCAATTTTTGAGGAGTATTTGAGAGGTGGAAAAATTTAGGGAGGCAATTAAGGCTGTTCAAGAGACCAGAATTGGAGGGAAGCAGATGAATCATGGGGTTTTAGGGCTGGAGGAAAATACACAGATTGGGAGGGATGACCTGATGGGGAGATTTGAAAACAAGGATGAGAATTTTAAAATTGCTTAACAGGAACTCAGCATAGGTCGGGGACCACAGGGGTGATACAGGAAAGGGGACTCGGAAAAGGGATATGGAAGACAAGCTTTGGAAAACCTCAGGCACAAGAGGGCTGATTAGGTAGGGGCTGTATTAGAGTGGCAAAGTGTCAACAAGAACAACAGATTGATGGTTTCAGCAGGAAATGAGCTGGGGCAGGTGTGGAGATCTCACAGGGGTAGTTAAGCCAAACATCCGACTCAGCATGTAGGTGCAGAATGGAGACAGTGGGTCGGGAACAGAGTTCTGGAGGAAAATGAGATCAGACAGAGAAGGGAGAATGGCACAGGGGCAGAGGGAGAGAAATGGAAAGATAGAACAAGACAGAGTGAGAGACAGAAGGAGAAAGAGAGAGAGACGGTGGAAGAAAGGATGGAGAGGGATGGCAGAGTTGAAAAAAAAGAGGAACGAGAGTGTTGGAGTGAAGTAAAGAGTCATAGAGTGACAAGACAATAACAGAGAAGAGGAAAGTGGAAAGTGGAAAGGGACTACAAAGGTAAAGGTGAGAAAACTTAAGAAGTCACTTACACTGAAGAGGGACAGTCATATTCTCAGAGGTGATCTGTCCATCAGTTCCATTGGAAACACATCGGTATGGACCTGCATGCCATTTGTACATCTGCTTCACCCGAAGGAGAAGTTCCCCATTATCTCTGCTGACGTTAAAACTGTAGTACCAGCAACGGAAGGAAGTGGTGGTATCGATAGTGAACCAGGATCGCAACCACTAAAACAGGAAACATTAGGTCATGTACGTCTGCCAAAATCAGTTTACAAAATTTAAATTCCCACTTCCAAAGAGGTCAATTTGTTTTTGATTAAAGAACAAAAATGAAGACAATGTTTATCAAGATGAAGAATACGGGAATATGACCTCGAACTTCACATCAGACCCTCTTGCAGCATTCAGGGAGATGTTTTGGAATACGACTGGCCATGGCTCAGGCTCGTTTTTTTGGGGAACCATAGGGTTCAATCCTACTATTGCAGCTGGTGGAATAAGAATTTAGTGAATAAATCTGGAAAATAGAGCTTCTTTCAGTGATTGTGACAACAAAGCTAGCATGGAGGGTTGTAAGAAACTCTTATTGAGTTCACCTTTTAGATAAAGACAGTCTGCGTTCGTTACCTGACCTGGCCTATACATTGCTCCAGAGCCACAGCAAGGTGACTGACTCTAACTATCCTCTGAAATGGCTTAGCAAGCCACTGAGTTCAGGGACAATTAGGGATGGAGAGCAAAAGCTGACCCAGCCACAGACACTCACTTCCCATTAAAGAATAAAGGAAACACTGTAGAGCTCCCTCTACACTGCCGCCCGTCAGGGACAGCACAGGGTTAGATATGGAGTAAAGCTCTCTCTGCACTGTCCCCATCAAACACTCCCAGGACATATACAGTACGGGGTTAGAGACAGGAGTAAAGCCTTCTCTACACTGTCCCCCATCAAACACTCCCAGGACAAGGACAGCATGGGGTTAGATAAAGAGTAAAGCTCTCTCTACATGCTCCCCTGTCCCCCCCCCCCCCCCCCCCCCCTTCAACCCACCAACAAACACTCCCAGGATAGGGACAGCATAGGGTCAGATACAGAGTAAAGCTCCTTCTACACTGTCCCCCATCAAACATGGACGGTACGGGGTTAGATACTGATCCACATCACCCCCTACATTTAACCCTAGCACCCTGGCATGTTTCCTCCTGCTACGTACAGAAAATTCCTTTCACTCTCTCCTGCTTGCGGCCACGTTACTGATAATGAAACATGTGTCTGCCCGTCCAGTTCCTCACAGCTCATTGTACCTTGACAGGCCTCCCTTATCATAAACAAGTGCTTTCTGTTTCTTCGGATGTGAAGAACGAGATTGGTTACATTGGATTTTAATTCCTAAGAGAATGAAGCAATCATCACTGAGTGTGTGCAATGAAGAACCTCACCTTATGATACATCTGGAATTTGAAATTGGACATGTCTTGCCCATCATCTAAACACTGCAAAATTACATCGTTCCCTTCAACGATTGGTCCTGAGGGTTCCTTAATAGCCAGTTGCAGTTTTGCTGCAATCCCAAAGAACAAAAAAAAAGTTACTCATTCAGTAAATCAAAGTGTGAAACTGTATGCTTCAGTCCTGCAGGCATTCAGGAACCCAGTGGCTTGAAGCAATGTGTGGGATTGAATCATTTTGAACAAGATTTGTGCGGAATTGAATCTTTTTCAATGATGGAAAGCCACAAGTAAGTGAGGTAAGTGATGGATACACAGACAGATTGTCACATGTCACAAGCAGATGCAGAAAATAATCAGGAATGCCGGTCGAACGAGCATCGGATACTGGGAAGAAAAGAGGCTGGAGTTGCTGGTTGAGTTTGCTCAATTTCTCAGTTGGATCAAGCTCATTTTGGACCTCAACACCATTTTCCCACTCTTTGCATACATGACTTCGGGAGAGAATTTCAGGATTTTGACCCAGTGATGGAACGGCAATATATTTCGAAGTCAGGATGGGGAGTGGCTCGGAGAGGAACTTGCAGAGGGTGGTGTTCCCATGTATCTGCTGCCCCTTGTCCTTCTGGATGGAAGTATTCGTGGGTTCAGAAGGTGCTGCCTGAGGATCTTTGGTGAATTTCTGCAGTGCATCTTGCAGATGGTACACACTGCTGCTACTGAGCGTCGGTGGTGGAGGGAGTGGGATGTTTGTGGATGTGGTACCAATCAAGCGGGGGCTGCTTTGTACTGGATGGTGTCCCCTTTAAATAAGGCAATACTTGTTAGTTTGAAATTTGGTGAAAACCATCGATTTGATCATAGATCATAGAATCCCTACAGTGTGGAAACAAGCCTTTTGGCCCAACAAGTCCACACTGAAGCTCAGAGCATCCCACCCAGACCCATCGCTCTGTAACCCACCGAATCTACACATCCCTGAACACTATGGGCAATTTAGCATTGCCGATCCACCCACCCTGCACATCTTTGGACTGTGGGAGGAAACCAGAGCACCCAGAGGAAACCCATGCAGACACGGGGAGAATGTGCAAACTCCACACAGAGAGTTGCCTGAGGGTGGAATTGAACCCGGGTCCCTGGAACTGTGAGGCAGTGCTAACCACTGTGCCACCATGCTGACTTGGCTGACCTAATGTTTGGCATGAAATTCAGAGTCAGAGTCATCAGAAAACCAACAAGGCAACGTTGCATTTTTGGATCAGGAAAGACCAAACAGAAAAAAAAAGCAGGTTAAAAAAAATTTCCACGGCTTTTCCACAATCTTTCGTGAACAGCTGACTCAAAAGGCTAACTAATTCTAGGCTGCTGTGCGTACTGGATTGGAGGCAAGGGTTGAATTTAACCAGGTGCCTGGAACTGAGAAAGGCTGACACCTCTATTGTCCGAGTTAGCACTCAGACCCAACCCCTTGTCTCAGCTTAGAGATTGCTGTTTGCGTCGAGCCCAGTGAAATGGGAAGCAAGTCTCCCGCTTTGAGTGCTATTGAGGCTGTAAATATTCATGTCCCCAAAGATATGGCCAACATGGAGACTGGAAATTGTGCACAGATAGCAGTGGGAGCTAAATGGTGTGTTTGAGACATATTGCTTGGATAGATGAAAAGGGAAGGTAGGAAGCAAGGATCTGCAATTACATAGCCTCCAATCGAGACTCTGGAGGTCACCAAAGTGGTTTGCATCAATTAAGCCTGAAGCGTAGTTAACGCAGTGAGTGACATTTTGTGGCACACAGAATAGCATTCTCCGAAACTAGGTTAGGAGTTCCAGGTTCGAATCTTGTTCCAGGACTTGACAGCCAAAGAAGGTGGGTTCACAACAGGTCAAGAAAGGATCCTTCCAATGTACAGCAGTGGCAGCTGTAAGAGCTGAAGGGATTTCTGGTCAGTCATGCAATGGAAGAACTTGTTAAGCCTTTAACTTGCTTATTCATAGCTACGGGCTACAATCTGCAAGATTCCTCAGTAACCCAGTGTGACAATGTGTAAACTTCTGAAATTTAATAACTGTCAGGGATTGAAAGAATTAGCAATAACGCTTTCTGGAATAAACTGTTTCCTGAGATAAAAGGGCAAAGACAAACTGTTATAAAAGGAATCAAGAGCAACATGAGAATTAACCATCCCTGGGCATAGGAGGAGTCAAAGCTACATAAATAAACTGTTTCAACATCTGCTCAATAACTTGGCTGCCTTATGCAACAAGGACAAATGATGGCTGTGCAGAAGAAGTTAAAGAGTCAATGGCAGGACAGGTTATGTTTCAAACGTACAGCTAATATGGTGGGTTTGGAAGAGACAAGTTTGTATTTTTAACCATAACATTATGTGTATTTGATTATATTGAATGTATTAAGGAACAGAGAAGTTAGTCCTGATAAGAAGGCTAGCTACAGACTTGATGACCTCAGAAGGATCATCACTGAACAAGACAGAAAATCCTACAAGAATTCAACTACAGGATTCTTCAGTCGCAGAACTCTGGAGAACCACACTGCACAAGGATTGAACCCTGGACAGGTTGGAATTGTAGCTAAATTCTACCGTTGGTTAATTGGGTAATAGTCAAGTTGAGTTGCAAGGGTCTTATTTTGATTGCTGCATGCAATAAAGTGTAAATCATTGTTTCAGTTTTTGATTGTCTATGAGATTTCTTAATAAGTGACCTAATTAACAGTATGTTTTGCTAATTGACACGCAACACCGAGTGAACTGTAAAACATCACACCACTGCTGCAGAGTTGAAACTGAAACCTGTCTGGAGCAAGTACACCAGGCTTTACCCTCAGGGGAAAAAATGTCCCCGCTCATTAAATAATAGTGAAGTCACAGCTTGCCTTCCATACCTACACACTCATACCTATAGATCCATTGAATTTGCTGAATTTTAACCATCTTATGACTACTTCATGGTAATGGAAGGAAGTTGGGACAAAGATTGGAGTTTAGCTCACAGTGTTAAAGGTCACAATTGAAACGGGGAGCGCATGCTTAATTGTAAACTCACGGAAGGCAGTGTATTTTTAGGTAGGCATATACGTTCTGAAGAAGAGTCACTGGACTCGAAATATTAGCTGTTTCCTCTCCACAGTTACTGCTAGACCTACTGAGTTCACCCAGCAATTTCTGTTTGTTGTTTATTTCAGATCTCCAGCATCCACAGTTCTTTGCTTCATATCATTGCCCTGAAGTGCTACAAATTCCATAATCACATTTAACAGTGGACTTTATCACAGAGGGTCAACACCCTTGAATAAGAGGGTAAAGCTCAAAAACAAAATCAATTTATCTCAGTGCTGTTTGGAGTACCTTAATGTGCGCACCACTGCAAATATATAACACATTTGACATCTCAAAGTCGTGACGAGCACTATAGGAAGGCAAGCTTTTTTTTGTATACTGCCCTTTCAATATACACTGCACATACAATATAGAAACATTTCCAAAGAATCCCTAACAAACAATGCGTAGACTGTAAATGCAGGTTGGCTACATTATCTGGCTGACATTTCATCCAATCCCTGTGCAGGGCTGACAATGAGAGATCATTATTGAACACACAATGTGAAAACAGCTTTTGTTGATACCTGCTTTTTGCAAGACGCGCTCATTAATTACGCTGCGTTGTTCAGCTAAGCTCTGCTGTTGCAAAGGCTCCAAAAATTTTTTTTAAATGGAGGCACATCCCTTGCTGCCCCATTAGTGGTTAACCATCGTAAGGATACGCAGAGTTCCACAGCTGACTACCTTCTGATACGCTTGGCAACATCAAGATTCAACCTGTCCATCTTAAGTCCATACTGTGCCACCTCCCAAACATCCCCAACTCCTAGCTCCATTCCACGGAAAAATTATTGGGAAAACTGTGCCACTTCCCAATTTAGAAACTCCCCATACATTAGCACTTGCCCATGTTATGGTCGTAATTGAAATCAGCCTCACACCACAAGGCTTTGAACAATAGTAACCCAATGGAAGCAGAAAAAGCTGGCAAGTATAAGCAAGGATCCTATTTGACTATCTTCTTAAAGAAACCTTTTAGCTTTTGAAAGGAGATGAGTGAACCGAATAAAAACTGAGACAACTTGAAAATCATGTTTGCCAACATGCTGGAACAAAAATCTAGTTTGACAAGCACGCAAAACAACAATATGACTCACTTCTGAATCGCTCTACACATTCCAAAAAACACGGCATTGCTTTATTTAATAACGAAGAGTTTGTTCATTCCTGTTAGGTATAGTTGCCAGCTAAACGAAAATGCAAAAATCTAAGTTTCCCAACATGAATGACTTGGCCCCCCATCTTAAGTGATCCTACTTTAACTACAGGTTGTGACAAAATACCTTCTCTCCACCCAAGACTTTCCCCTTCATCAAAAGAAGACTTGGAATCAGAGATTACAACTCCTTCTTAGAGCCATTCACAAGGATCAATTTTCAAGCCACTGCCTGTTCATCTATTGTATTGGCAACCTCAGTTGAGCCTAATCACATACTTTCATGGAACCATAGAATCCCTACGGCGTGGAAACAGGCCATTTGGCCCACCAAGTTCACACAGACCTTCTGAAGAGCATCCCCCCCAACCCTATAACTGCACATTTAGCATGGCCAATCCACCTAGCCTGTAGGAGGAAACCGGAGCACAGCCACGCAGACACAGGGAGAATGTGCAAACTGCATGTAGTCACCCGAGGCTGGAATCGAACTCAGGATACTGGCGCTGTGAGGCAGCAGTGCTAACCACTGAGCCACCGTGCCGCCTCCTGTACACATTTTTTGTTTTAATTCACTCATGGGATGTGGGCGTCGCTGGCTGGCCCAGCATTTGTTAATGGTCCCTAGTTGCCTTTGAGAAGGTGATGGTGAGCTGCCTTCTTGAACCACTGCAGACAATGTTGTTAGGGAGGGAGTTCCCGATTTTGACCCAGTGGCACCGAAGGAATGGCGATATATTTCCAATGGTGAGTGGCTTGGAGGGGAACTTGCAGGGTGTGGTATTCCCACATATTTGCTCCCCTTGTCTTTGTATATGAAAGAGGCCGTGGGTTTGGAATGTGCAACAGATCTTTGGCAAATTTTTCCAATGGAAAGTTGACAGGGGTAGATCAGGAGTTGGGTCGACTTTGTGGTATTGGCTGTGACTCATTTGGTAACACTCTCGACTCGAGCCAGGAGGTTATGGGGTCAAATCCCGACGCATGTCCGCAAACAACCCCAAACTAGAAGCGGTGTAGGCTTTTGGATGAGGCAGAAAACCAAGGCACCCTTTGGATGCAAAGGATCATTTTGCACTGATTAGTGGGGACTTCTTTGGAATTCAACACCAGGGTTGGAAAGGACTCCTAACTCTGCAAAGGAAAGGAAGAAGTCTCTCAATCAACAAATAAAAAGGATGATCCAGTCGTTATGAAAGTAGTGCGATGGGCACTTGCTATGTGCAAGTTGGCTATTGTGTTTCGTGGCCAACACGAGAGGCCACTCTTCAAACGGTGTTTTTAGGGTAGTAAAGTTTTGAGGTGCCCACTGTTCAAGAATGCTATTGGAATGCAATGTTTCCTACTACAGTGGTGGGGGAGAGGGGGGGGCGCGGTTCCTCTGAAATCCTGCACGTTCTGGCTTATTTTCTGACCTGCACCAATGAGTTTCGACAACAAGACCGTCCCAACAGCGAGACAACATTTACCAGCTCACGTTACAGGACACAAAAAGTTAAGCCCGTTGCTTGAAGCCGGAAATGGAAACAAATAAATAGCATTGCCATGAAGCAATTATTTGATAGATTACCGAAAAAAAGCACCTACGTGTTGGTAGAACTACAATATTTTGATGGGGGGCGGGGGGGGGGGGGGGGGGGCAGTCCCAACCGACTGGCTCTTACCTGGCCCCTCCACCCCGAATATATTTCACGTTTACACTGTTTAACCTTTGTTAACGCCAGCTTGCTCAATCTTTACTGGATTCGATTACTGGTACTGGTTCAAAGAAACACCGTTTAGCAAGAAACGATCTGATTATTCGGACAATTTTGAGCAGTTTACCTTCTCAATGCAATCGGTGTACAGAGAACTACAACAGGAAAGTTGAGAGTTCAGTACCAAGTTTTGTCTCTGACTTACCATTTCCAATCGCCGGGAAGCAAATGCATGCCAGCAGGAACGTCCAGAAAGAGGGATTCATTTTCACAGCTACTTCCAAAATTATTCCCACGACAGACAAAAAGCGTTCTACTCTGAACTCCTGCGTCTACCTGCTTACAAACAACCTGGTGTAGGCGGGGAGATCATATTACGACTTTGTTCCGGGTCTGTACCCAATGATTTGGGGATTTCTCTCTCCAACGTTGGTTTTTCACTTCGATGCAAACAAGTAGGGTTTTATTGTAGGGAATGTTGCAGTAATCTATGGAGTCTGCTATTTTTTTTTTAAAGAAAGAGGGTACTTTGTCTTGTTTTTATTTAATAGCCATAGCCCTCCTGCAACTCACTGCCAATTATGTTCCTCAGAGTGAAGTGACGCCATTTGTCACCAGGTAGAAGTCAGGCTCCCAGTTTGAGTTTTCTTTCGTTGTTGACATTTCCGCGTTAAGACTCACTCCGCTCGCCCTCCCCCAGAGTCAAGATGATGGGGATTTTCAGGATTGGGGAGAAAGCGTCGCTTCTGTACTAGTGGCATGTGATCCCTCTGGCCTCTCTCTGGAAAGTTGTCACATTCTGCTTACTCACTGATCCTTGACTGGGTTCCAGTTGCTTTCGCAACATAAAATGACATTATCACAGACAGCATGTGATCAGTTTAAATAAAACTGTTTTGTCTTGGGGATGGTGTGTATTACAAAACCATCTGATCATTCCATAAGACCATAAGAAAAAGGAGCAAAATTAGGCCATGTGGCCCATCATGTCTGTTCCACCATTCGATCTTGGTCTAGATGTTTCTCATCCCCATTCTCCAGCCCTCTCCTTGCAACCCTTGATCCCTTTACTAATCAATAGACTGAGAATATTGAAATAACTCCACAGAAGCCTGTATCCCATCACCCTTTGTTTACATGCGGAGAGTCCTCGACACTGATCCAGCTTCCTCAGACCCAGCTCTCAGAGTGAGCAGAACCTCTGACACTCCTGTTTATATCTGTCAGCCAGGGCTCCCTGATTGCACCAGGTTAACAGTCCCAAACAGGGAACTCATATTCTAGGAGGTCCACATGGCTGACCTTGTTACAATTACTACACCCCTCCCCCTCTGTGTCTGAGGATATAGGCCAGTGTTTTTTTTGGTAGCTCCTTCTGGGGCATTTTAGCAGTAGATCAGGTTCCTCCAACTCTGCCTCTGATACATGTAATGCACAGTAGCTCACCTCTTGTGCCCAGCACATCTCAGAAGAAATTCATTCTCCTCTTCAGGGGGCAGAGGCAGCGACATCAGCCGTGTCCATCTCAAATTCCGAAGTATCTTCAACGCTTGACGGAGAGGGAGAACCCACGATTTCCAGAACAGTCGGAAAGGCTTTTGAGGAGGCAGGCACAGTTTGCTCCTCCACTGTTTGCAAATTTGCAACATCCATGTTGTCTACGTACTTCTTCAGGGCCATCACCCCTACTCGGACTTGAGACGTCATGGGAACTGACCTCACATTGGCCATGTCTCTTACCCATGCAGGACCGTTCCCGTGGTTCCTGCACCAAACTTCGTCCCCTCAAGTAAACTGCCTCCTTCACTTAGAGGAGTCTTGTGTATGGCATTGGCATTCCTGATGCCATTTCACCCTCACCCCCCAGGTCTGGGAAGATCAGATTTAATCTGGTGTGGGGTCTTCTCCCATGCGTAACTCTGCTGGAGCTATCCCTGCAGTTGCATAAGTGGTGGTCCTATAATCAAACAGGAACCAGGACAATTCAGTAGGCTGTAGGCTTATCCTTTGGGCCTGTTTGGACTCCTCTTTCTGCCACACCATTCAATACCATTCAACTTTAGGAAATACTCAATATCCCTGCTGGTAAACGATGGCCCGTTATCTGCGACCAATCTTCCGAGAGCCTGTGCATTGCAAAAGATGTGTGCAGTTTTTCTGTCATCTTCCCTGGTGTTTGACAAATGAACTCAATACACATCCAGACACTTTGAGCAGGCGTCCACAATTTGACTAAGAACATTGACCCCATAAAAGAACCTGCATAGCCAACGTGTACTCAAGTCCAGGATTTACCCAGCCATTCCATTTATGTGGGGGAGCTGTTGGCACCTGGGCACTACCACACCAATGTGGCTATGTCGGCATCCAATCCAGGCCAACAGACATAACTTCTTGCCAACATCTTCATTTTGGAAACCCCTGGATGACCCTGGTGGAGTTCAGCCAGTATCTGGTGGTGTCCTTTGCTCGGGACAATCACTCTTGCTCCCCATAATAATCTGCCTCTGGTGTCTAACCCTAACCCTAGCCCATCCTGGGCCTCCTGCAGTGCCACAACGATGCCACCTGAAGGTTGCAGGAACAGCAACTCATATTCTGCTTGGGAACCCTGCAGCCCAATGGTATCAATGTGGATTTCACAAGCTTCAAAATCTCCCCTCCCCCTACA